TTGCTTTTCAAGTTTGGTTTTTCTTCTAAGGTGGACACCATGTGTTCCTAGGATCGACACCACCTTGCTGTCTTACTCTTGGTGTTTCTACTATTTTTTGGAGTTGATATTAGTCTTTTTAGGATCGACACCACCTTTCTACTGTGTTCTAGGTGTCGCTGTTGTTTTTTGGGGTCGACACCATAGGTTCTGGGGTCGACCCTCTTGTCTACTACAAACATAAGTGTCTCAGCATTTCTTCTTAAGGGTTGACACCACTGTCTTGGAGGTCGACTCTTGTGAGTTTTTCTCAAATTTTGGATTCGGTTTGGGTCCTACATTTTGGGGATTTTTGACTTGTTCTTTTCATTAAGTTTAAGGATATTATACTACTACTATAAATAGACCCAAACACTATTTTCTCATTCATTCTTCCTTTAAACCATGAATCTCTCTCTCTCTCTCTCTCTCTCTCTCTCTCTCTCTCTCCATGAAACTCAACTTTTCTCACATAGATGTCTAGATCTACTTGGTTAGAAATATCTTTTCACCTTCGTCCTTTGAGAAAGGTTGTAGATCTTATCAAGGGCTTTCTCTTGATCCAAGAGTTTAGTAGTTTCTTCGACGTTGAGTTTTTCAGGTTCTCATCTTCAACTCATAAGATAGGGATTTCTCCACATTTTCTTATGAGTTTTAACTTAGTTATTTGTTTTTCTAAAAAGAATATTGGGATTTGAGGATTTTTAAACAAACCTAGGATTTTGGTTTAAAAATTAAAAAAAAAAAGAGTTTTCAAATGAATTTTTGAAAATAGTTGTGGGGTTGTAAATGATGTTGAGTTGTGATAAAATGGTTGGGTTTTGACACCTGGAATTGATTTTTTTGAAAAAATGAGATTGTGTCCTAAAATCTCAAATTTTTTGATTTCATTAAGAGAAATGAAAATTTATGTTGGAATTATAAAATTGGATTGATATTGATGAGGATGTGGAGTTGGATATGTATTATCTCTTCGATCTTGAGAATTTGAAAAGTATATCTTTATTGGAAATCATTTATCTATTTAGAAATATCTATTTTGGGCTATCAGTGAAGGATACCTATAATTATTGTAAATTTTGCATGGGAATTAGGGAATTGAAATTATTTTTCATCCATTTGTATTGAGTATGGTTGCATATTAATACATTTTAAATGTATACTGCTTTGAGAAAAATAGGTGAATACCTTGGTGAATCTGGGTAGGAATGTAATTGTGATATTATATTTGGCCTGTGTATCCTTGATGAAAGTCCAAAAATCTGCGCGGTTAAGTGTAAAGCCTTCCGGTTAATATTGGTAAAAATAACAAATTGGTAGTGCTTGTAGCCTACTTATAGATACGTTCTAGAGATTTACAGTGTTGTATTCGTGGCCCTATTTTCTATTGTATAGGAAATGATTTCATGAATTGGGATATAACTTGGCATTGCATGATTTTGGAAAGAGATATAAAATATTTTTCGGCATGAGCATTGCATATGCATTCACCTTATATCTTTGTTAAAATTCATAAACTGTGTTAAAGTACATTTATTAGGCTTCGGCTCACCCTATATAGGAAAACCATTTGCAGGTACTGATGATATGCCTCTGCCAAGGCAATAGTTTGGGAGGATTTGGAGCAAGAGTTTCATTTTGTTTATTTGTTGTATTTATTTTGTATAAGCCTAGGGCTTTATTTGTATTGAGTTTAATCTTACTTTTGTTGTAACCAAATATTGTCTTAGAAAGTTGTAAGCCTTTAGGGTATTTCTTATTTGTTTTTAAAATCTTATTTCATATCTTTAACTTGTAACACATGCTATAAATTCAGAGTTAGAACTTGTGAATGTATAATCGCATGTGCTATCTTTTGTACCACGGGATTATATGTAATGAAAGGTTACTTATTTTAGAAAATTATATTTACACATTGTTGTTATTTATTAATATTGTAGATAGTTTATTTTAATTATTTCGGGGCGTTACACATTAAAAGTTATATTATTTTAAAATTTAATATTTTGATAATGATGATATTATTTCAAGGAAATTTTTTTGTACTTGTCCTTAATGCATTAAAATTTTATTATTATGGGATTTTGACCAAATTTTCCAATTTTTATAACATCATGATTCAATTTCAATTGACTGCAGTTGAAACAGTGACATATCTACCCGATCACTTTTTCAGTTCGTTCAATGGTCTGGTTTCAGTTTTCAAATTTCACTTTTCAGAAAATTCTAGATAGCGTTTGGTAGAGTTTTCTAAATATGATTTGAGAATATAGTTGCATTTTGAGTTTGTGAGTTTTGAAATTATGATTTGAGTGTAGAAAATTTGTTTGGTTATGAGTTTTGAAAAAAGTTTTGAATTGAGTTTTGAGTTAAGTGTTGAATTGCGTTTTGAATGTTTGATGCGACATGTGAAATAAGAAAATTTGTTTGATTATGAGTTTTGGAAAGAGTTTTTAAAACTTAATTCAAATTGTTATAACTCAGAACCAAACACACTACTCAAAGCTCTATTGAAAATTCTAATCAACATTCATAACCAAACTCTTTTTAAAATTCAATTAAAAAAATTAATTATTACCAAAAAATAACATTAATCATTTTTTAATTAAAAATATTACAAAGGAAATAATTTTTTTTTCCAAAATAAATATTCAATTACTGATTTAAAATAAATTTCATTGTATATTTGGTTCGAATTATTATTTTTAAAATATTTTTGATTTAAAATATATAAAAAATATATTATTTTTGTTAAAAAAATCAAAAACAAATTCTCATTTTTTCACCTCCAAATAACAGGTGCCATTTGCACAAAAAAAAAATAAATAAATAATAAAAAAAACTGTTCCGGTCAACCGCTCGGACATCTGAGGGATGTCTGGGAGGATGACCAAGTAGACTAAAATCACTCTTTTAAAAATTCAAAAACTCACTGTGTTGCCAAACAAGTTTTCAAATGAGTTTTGAAATGTGATTTAGAATCAATTTTGGAAAGCTTAAACCAAACAAGGTGTTGAAAATAACTCTGGAATTAAGATTCCAACGATATATAGCGCTTGGTAGAGTTTTTTATATATGATTTGAGAATAAAGTTATATTTTGAGTTTGTGCGTTTTGAAATTATGATTTGAGTGTAAAAAATTTGTTTAGTTATGAGTTTTGAAAAGAGTTTTGAAATGAGTTTTGAGTTGAGTGTTAAATTGAGTTTTGAATGTTTGATATGACATGTGAAATAAGAAAATTTGTTTAGTTATGAGTTTTCGAAAGAGTTTTCAAAACTTAATTCAAATTGTTATATCTCATAACCAAACACATTACTCAAAAATTCTGATCAATATTCATAACTAAACTCTTTTTAAAATTCAATTAAAAAAATTAATTATTAACAAAAAATAACATTAATCGATTTTTTTAATTGACAATATTACAAAGGAAATAATTTTTTTTTCAAAATAAATATTCAATTATTGATTTAAAATAACTTTTATTGTATATTTGGTTTGAATTATTATTTTTAAAATATAAAAAAATATATTATTTTTGTTAAAAAAAATCAAAAACAAATTCCCCTAGCTAAACTATAAAAATTGTGAACTTTTCAAACAATTATGATGAAAAATATTATCCTAAAATTTAGAGGCTGTGGGGATGTATTTTCTCAATACCAACACGTGGCATGGTGACACCGACGTGTCATCCGAGGTGCCACGTGTCGTGGTAGTTATACCGAGGTTATCTTGGCGAGGCCGAGGTTATCTCCAAAGATATCGGAATCCGAGATAATCGGATAAAAGATAAGGGACAAGAGTCATATACTTAAAAAGTATAATATTTATGATTTTTTTTTATAAAAAAAATTCGCTAAACATCAAAAATACAAAATAAAAAATAAAAATTCAGTACATATTTTTGTGTATTTATTAACTTTTTAAAATATTTTTTTACAAATATTTTACTATTTAGATATATCTAAAAAAATAAAAAAATAAAAAATTACTTACAATTTGAAGCCCAAAATTAGGGCTGATTTAGCATACCTCAAAAAGGTTAAAAAGTCAAAAAATTATCACTATTCACAAAAAAAAAATATAAAAAAATTAATGTTACAAAAAAAAAAAAAAATACAACTCACATGTCATGTTAGTTGTACTTTAGCTGCCCACCGTTTGTATAAAGAGAACAGGCGGAGAAGCAAACAAGATGGTGCTGTTCGACCCGTGGAGGCCCATCAAGGGTCCCGTTTTGATAATTTGAATCGTTAATGTGTAGAAATCGTCAAGTACTATATACTTATAAAAAATCACGTTGATCGGATATCGTTAACTACATGATCAAATCAGTTTTGTATAAAAAATGGATGGTGTTATAATTAACGGTTGACAAAAAATTAATTCGAACAGATAATTATCGATATCTGAATAACGTGAAGTTTTTACAAGCATATAGTACTCAACGAGTTCTACACATTGAACGGTTCCAATTAGCAAAACGGGACCCGTGGTAGGCCCCCATGGGCCAACAACACCGTTCAATTCAATGTCCGAAAAGGAGGCAACCATCTCCTATAGACTAAGGACATCTACCGTACTACCTATTCTATCCTAAGTTTTTTTTATACACTAAATTTATACAATTTTTAATTCATATTTTTTCGTAGAAAACAAAAAAGTTATCCTAAATAACCATATTTTTTTCTCAACTTTTTAGTTAAAAATTCAAAAAGTACACTTATTTAGAACATCCCAAACAACCTTTTACTAAGGCTAAGTTTGGGAAGACTAAATAAGTGTACTTTTTGACTTTTTATGAAATATGGGTTGGATTTGGATTGGGTTTGAAGTGATGTGTTAGAGAGGTGATGTGACTTAAATGAGATGATGTGACTTAAATAGAATAGTGACTTTTTGACTTTTTGGATTTTTTGGAAGATGCCAAACTTGGCCTAAAAATACAAAAAAATAAAAAAAAATTCAATTTTTCAAAAATTAAATTCACCAACCGCATCTCATAAACCCTAGAACTGGAAGGAGGAGAAGAGCAATGTCGAACAACGATTCCAATCTAACAATGGCGACATTCAATCTCCCTTTCGACGTAACCATTGACATCTTCTCAAGATTACCGGTGAAGTCTCTCTTTCGATTCACCTCCGTATGCAAATCCTGGTACGCTCTAATCAAGACCCCTAATTTCATTTCCAAACACCTCACTCACTTCACTCTAAACCCTAATTTCCCTTTCACCTCTCTCCTCGTATCTACAAAGTCCAAAGGCTATGGCATGTCCTTGTTTTTCAACGATGAATTTGATAGACCCATCGATCTCGATTTCCCATTTTTGACCCAGGAATCTGATCCAGACATTGTGGGTATCTGTAATGGTCTAGTTTGTATCAGTGTATCTCAATTTGGGAAACCCTTGTTTCTCTGTAACCCTGCAACCAAACAGTTTCGTCGAATTCCGGGTTACAGATGGTGGGATGAGAGGGGTGCGAAATTGAAAAGGGTCACTTTTGGGTTTGGGTTCCATCCCAGTGCTAAAGATTATAAATTGGTGAGGATTGCTTATTATTCTTGTTTCGATGCGAGGGTCGTTGTTCGGGCTGAGTTTTTCAGTGTGAGGACCGGTAATTGGAGAGAAATCGATGCTGGGAAGGCCCGGTTTTTCGGTGAGGAGGTTGGTGCTGTTATGCCATATGAGATTTGTGGGTCTGTGAATGGGGTTTTTTATTGGGCTGCATTGGTATTGCCATTGAATACTGTGATTATCGTGTCGTTTGACATGGATGATGAGGTTTTTGCGAAAATAGCAACCCCACCTTGTTTCTCGGAGATTTGGGATCAATGTAATTGGAAACTCACGGAATTAAACAATAAACTTGCTCTGATTATATATCCTGATGATTATTACACATGCTTTGATGTGTGGGTGTTGGATGAAAATAGGAGCTCTTGGACTAAGCAATTTAAAGTTGGACCTTTTCCGGGTATTGGAAGTCGTGTGGGAGGTGAGAAAAATGTTGAAATCATGCTTGTAGGATGTGCGAAAGATGGTAAACTTATAGTGGAAGATCGTTCTGAATCTGATGTTTTGAAGCTCTTTTCGTATGACCCCAAGAGCCAAGTAACCAAGAATCTTCCTGCTGCTCACGTGGTGTATCCATATGAAGTTTATCTGTACAAAGAGAGCCTGCTTCCAGTGGGAAACATTGAAGCCATAGCACAGACTCATGTGTGAGTTGCAGTTTCAAATACTTTTTTTTTTCTTTTTGCTTATATTAGTTTCATTAGTTAAGCATGACTATGCTGGAGAGTTTCTTTTGAAAACTGGTTTATGTGATACTACTATGATGTGTTCTGTTTACGAGCCACTAATATTTGTAGCTTGGGAAAGGATGGTGGTTGTCATATCTCGTAGTTTGTGGTGTTTTGAAAACAAGCAATTGTGAAAAATGATCATTGCCTTTAGATTGTCAAAAGGGGAAGGATGAAGTTTTGTTTGAGGTGTTCAAAAATTATTCTCATGATTGAATCATTGAAAGGGTGATGATTGTGGTATGAAATCCAATCCCTCTAGTGATGTGTATATTGTTCGTAAACAGAACACATCATAGTAGTAGTTTGTGGTGTTTTGAAAACAAGCAATCGTGAAAAATGATCATTGCCTTTAGATTGTCAAAAGGGGAAGGATAAAGTTTTGTTTGAGGTGCTCAAAAATTATTCTCATAATTGAATCATTGAAAGGGTGATGATTGTGGTATGAAATCCAATCCCTCTAGTGATGTGTATATTGTTCTATACTATCATCTAGGATCAAAGAAGAAGCTTATGATTTTCTTAGAAAAGTTTAGAGGCTCAAAGAACTTAATGGTATCACTTGTTGAAATAAACAAGAGATGCTAAGCCAGTTTTTTCGCTATTAACTCCTGGCTATCCCCAACTTTTCATCATTTACACTTTACCATTTGAACCATCTTCTCATTGGTTCTTTCAATTAAAAATTTATCATGCTTACCACTTAATTTGTCATGTGTTAGTTATATTACTAGTGCTATATTTATGCCAACTCAGTAGCTGATAAATTGGAAGAGTTTTATCCTTTCTTTTTGTGGATTGACTGAATTTTCATGAGCTGCAATTGGATTGTGTATTATGTGTACCATTAATGTTGCAAAAGCTCTAATTAATCAGCATAGGGGATATCACAATCAGCTAATACGTATAGGAAGATTATAGTGAAAACTGTATGTACCTAGTAGCATCAGTCAGAGTGCTCTTTCAAAGTTGTGCTCATTACATGATCTGATTGTGAAATTTACTAAGTTCATGTTATTTTATTTAACTTTTTTTTGTTGTGTGTGCGCGTGCGCTCGCGCTCATGTACTACACAAATGCTTTGGCATTTGGAAAGTTTCTGGAATGTTCAGCTAATTGGTTCTAACCTGTTCATGGTGGTGTCTTCTGCATGCACCATTACGGGGAACTTAATTTGTTCTGTTCTGCATGATTGATCGCCTTCATTTCATTATTTTAGGTAAAAGAGTATAGTAATTACATTCAGATTATGCTCTTAGCTTTATTTTTATTGGATAAACTATCAATATGTCCTAATAGTTGGACTTAATTCCCGTCAAGTCTTATTGAAAATAAGTCTTAATAAAATCGTTAACAAAAATAATTTTTGTTGACGATTTTTTATACACGTTATTAAAAATTAACAATTAGTGATTTTTTTTTTCAATTGTTTTTATAAATAATCACTAGAACTTGTAATTAATGATGTTTTTCTGTAATAAAATTTTCAAAGTGTCGTTGAAAGTTGAAAATTAAATGATGTTTTTTTGTGACAATTTTTTTAAACTATAAAATATAACTTATAATTAGTAATATTTTTTGTGAGAAATTTTTTAAACTGTCGTTAAAAATTAACAATTAATGATGTTTTTAATAGTGTTTGATAAAAAATATCATTAATTATTATAAGACCTATTAGACAATAAATTTATCTATTAAGACTTACATGTAAATGTCAAAGATGGAGGCTTACATGATCATCCCAAGCTGTCTCTGTTGAAAACAATGGCTGCACGAAGGCCTCTAGCTGGATTAATACCTGTCCCTGTAATTGGGATCGTTGCCAGGTGTACTAAGAACACGGGGAACCCAAATGGCAGTGGTGCTAAAATCTGACAATCTGAATTCAGTAATCAAAGCCACGAGACACAGTCAATAAATAAATAAAATACAATTTTGAACTATTCATCATACTTGCAGGGACATGAGTGTCTCTTGCGTTTCTCATAGCATCTGTGGCTGAACGGACAGTGTAAACGAGTATAAAAGTACCCATTATTTCGGCACCATGGTCATTGCCTTTGGTGTATCCAGAGCTGACAGTGTTTGCACCACCGCCGAGCATCTCATACTGGCTTTTCTGGTAGCCCTTCACTACACCCACTTCCGAGACATTGCATGATGATGATGTAGAAGGCAACCATGGTGAGGGACAGTTTCCTAGCCAAAAGAACAACAGACAAAAAAAGTGGGAAAAAACAATGAAGAAGATGGAGAAAAGGACAGTTAGAGAAGATGAAGCCAAAAAAGGACCCCAAGTATTTTTAAAGGTTTTAGGAACAATCCAATTGTTCTTTACTCCTTTATTTTCAAAAATCATATTTATGCTCTAACAATCTACCAAAATATGTACTCATCTCATATTGAAAAATATGGAATAAACACGTAATTGTACCAATGTCATTTTGTACACATGCTTTACCCAATATCCAAAAAATATTGGATAATTATTTCGTGTGCCCAATTCGAATGCCCATATAGATCTCCCCCCCCCCCCCCCCCCAAAAAAAAAAAAAATCTTATGCCCATTTTAGGTAAATATTCAATAAATATGATAATATTTTCAGAATAATCATACTATGAGAGCATGAAGAAGTTTATCTAAGCCAAAATTTGGGCCTGTCTCTGGTCCAACCTTTGTTCATAATAATTTTGAAGTGATGGGCCAAACACTTTCGGAATTACTAGCCCATGAGGTAATTACTTCTAATCCAAACCCCCAAAAAAAAAAAAAAATCCGAAATTTTTAACCATGCTTGTAGCCCTTTACATATTTTCTACTTCTACAAACATGTTCAAGTTTTCCTACATTATTAAAAGTTATACCAAACACATTTACAATTGATTTTACGATTTAAAGGTGATAATCTAAAAAGTCATAATCATAAAAATTAATTTCTACGTAATACCGAACAGTCTTACGGGGTTGAATATTATTTTTAATAACAGCAGATTCAACAAGACTTAGTTAATAATTTTTTTATTAGAACTGAACCTCAAAGAAATGTTTAAAATTGGCACGTCTTACCAACCGTGGCATAAAAAATAAAAAAGAAAAAGAAAAATTCATAGAGAGGCAAAATTGATTTGGAACTTACAAAAACTTTCATTTATTATTATTATTATTATTATTGTTTATTTATTTATTTATTTATTTAAGACATTGACAGATTATTATTTCTTTTAACACCATGATTTTCTTTTGGGTTAATTACAAAGAAAACCTCAGGATTTCATGTATTTTTCAATTTAAATTCCAAATTTCAATTTTGTCAAATTAAATCTTGGAGTTTTGTCCGTGTTTCAATGTGAACCTCCGTCCATCTTTGTCCATCTCCGTCTCACTTCATCTTCTTCCTTCTTTCATGTTCAAATCCATATGTTCAAACCCTTTTATCTCCCTCGTCCTAATTCCGTTTTGCCTCATTTTTACGTCTTTGAATTCACCTCATGGCCTGGTTTTCATTTCACCTCTCATAAGCCTTGTTCTACCTTTTTTTGCATGCCGTCGGAGCTCCGAAGTTGGAAAAAAATAATTTTTTTCTCTTTGGACAAAATTTTCATATTCAAACCCACATGTTCAAGTTCTTGTATCTTCCTCGTCATAATTCCATTTCGCCTCATTTTTGCATTGTTAGATTCACCTCATGGTCTAGTTTTCATTCTATACCTCATACACCTTGTTCCACCTTTTTTTGCATGTCGTCAGAGTTCTAAAATTGGCCAAAAATAAAATTTTTCTCTTTTTTTTTTTGTTTGTTTTGTTTGTTTGTGTTTCTTCCTCCTCTTCCTCCTCAGCTCCTCCTCCTGGCTTATTGTTGCTGTTGCTTCATCATCATTATCTACAAGGTGAGGTGATGGTGGTAATGGTGGCAATGTCGTCGAGTGGTGATAGGTATACAACTACTCACAAAAATCACAAACCAATGGGTCGGTGAGCATGTCAGAGCACCTTGGTTTCCAATCAAGCATCATCCATTGCATCTCTACTGCCAAGAATATTGTCGTGATAGCAGCAAGAAAAAACAAAAAACAAAGAAAGAGAGAGAAAAATCTTATTTTTGGCTAACATTCAGAGTTCCGATGGCATGTAAAACGAGATGGAATAAGGCGTATGAGGGGTGGAATGAAAATTTGGCCATGAGGTGAATCCAACGACATAAAAATGAGGCGAAACGGAGTTATGACGAGGGAGATAGAAGAGCTTGAACATGTGGGTTTGAATCTGAAAATTTTGCCCAAAGAGAGAAAATTTTATTTTTGGCCAATTTTCGGAGCTCCGATTGCATGTTCAAAGAGAAGGAATAAGGCGTATGAGGGGTGGAATGAAAAATAAGCCATAAGGTGAATCCAATGACAGAAAAATGAGGCAAAACAGAGTTACGACGAGGGAGATATAAGGATTTGAATTTAAAAGAAGGAAGAAGATGAAGTGAGACAAAATGGACAAAGATTGACGGAGTGTTTACATTGAAATACGAATGAAACTCCAAGGTTTAATTTGTTGAAATTGAAATTTTGGGGAGAGTATTTACATTGAAATACGAATGAAACTCTAAAGTTTAATTTGTCGAAATTAAAATTCTGGGGTTTAAATTGAAAAACACGTGAAACATTGAGTATCCAAAAAAAAAAAAAAAAAAAAAGTCCTGTACTAGTAAACTGCAGGTCAAGGCCATGGATATTTTTAAATCACCAAAAAGCAAGTTTCCAATCAAATAATCCAAACAAAGGTAGTAGTTAAAACACAACATGATAAAGATTGAACACGCATAAAATTTGTCTAATTTTAGTATCCAAGAGACCGCCTTTACGACTCATAAGATCATCATTTACAAAGAAAATTAATACAGAAAGCCACCTGCAATGGCGGATGCTAGCAGCTGGTATGCAAAGCTTTTGCATGCAACCGTGCGTTGGTTTCGCTATAACATAGTCTTTTGCAAGGCAGTTGCATTCATGACTGGTAAGTAATAATCTTCTATATTTGAACTACTTGTTTTTGTCTAGTTATTTAGCCTCCAGATATTGATCAAAGGCCTTTGATTTTTCTAGAGAACTTTTCTTTTATATATATTTCCATTTTGTGCTAATCAATTCCAAACCTCAGCTCTACTTTTCAGCAACAGCGTAGTCGACTACGGAGTGGTCAGAATATTGATATCATACCTGGAAAAGAATTGGAAGAAGGTAAATCTGGCGAAAGTCGCATCAGTAATAAACGTCAAAGACGGGATATCAGCGGTGATGATGATTGTATTAGCCCATATTTCAGATACCTGGACTGGTCGTTTTGTGATGGTTGTGTGTTCTACTGCTGCCTATGCTATTGTATGTTCTATTCAGTGCTATTTTGATTTAGTAATTTTCTTCTTTTGTCCTCTTAATTACAAGTTCTAGTTTTTTGTTTTTTATTTTTTATTTGGGGCTTGGGGTTTTAATGACTTGATCAGAGTCTTTATGAATATTCATTCTCATTTAATTAATTTTTTCAGGGTAAACTACCAATAGGTACTAACAGTTAGACTGAATTCCCATTAAATCCTATTGAAAATAAATCTTAATAAAATCGTCACTAAAAATAATTTTTTATGACAATTTTTTGTATTAGTCAATAAAAATTGACAATTAGTAACTTTCTTATCATGATTTTTATAAATTGTCACTAAAACTTATAATTAGTGACTTGTTTTTGTGATGAATTTTTCAAACTGTCTCTAAAAGTTGAAAATTAATGACTTTTTTTTGTGATGATTTTTTTAAACTGTCGCTAAAACTTATAATTAGTGACATTTTTTGTGACAATTTTGAAACTGCCCCTAAAAATTAACAATTAGTAACTTTTTTTAATAATATTTGATGAAAAACGCTATTCATTCTTACACGACTTATTAGACAATAAGTTCACCTATAAGGTAAATCCCTTTTTTTCAAATAGGGCGACTATTCCTAAAATGTTTAAGGAGTGCTATTATTGTAAGATGTCTTATATTTACTGTAAACTCAGCCCTATATGAAGGTGGAAAATTGACAACTTGTCTTTATACAGGGATTCTGGGTACTCTACGTCTCTGCCATGTTCAATTCTGCTAATAATGTAGTCCTCTGTTTCTACTTGGCCATGGTACCCATAGCTGCGGGCAGAGCAATGCGAGGCCCTACTCTTTATGCATTTTTAGGTGACCAAATAGGCCACCAAGATGAGCCAAACCAAGACAAGAAACGAGTTCAAGCCCGTGTAAAATTTTGGGTTCGCTTGAACAAGTTTTTGGGTGCCACTGTGGCTTTCTTTGTGTTTGGGCCCCTACTGTGGAAAGAGTCCTTTGAAATCTCAGCAATTGCAATGACTATTTCTGGGTTCTTGTTTTCATGTGGTTTTCCATTTTACTACCGCAAAAAACCAACTGGGAGCCCCATAACAGATGTATATTATGTCATTAAGGCTGCTATTTGGAAACGAAATCTAGACTACCCTGCTACTCCAAAACAGTTCTACCATAATGACAAGGGTGAATTAGAACTTTCGCCTCATGTTGCACTACTCAGGTGCTCTTCCTTCTCTCTCTCTCTCTCCCTTACCATTTCTGTTTTGAAACATATTTGTTTATGTTCACAAAAGTTTTGGAAAACTAGAAACCAAACTTGTTTGTAGTGTCTATTTTTGTTTTAAAAATGGTAACTAGTATATTCATATATAATTTTCTAAATTCTAGAAAAAAGATGATTTCTGATGTTTTGTAATCAATTTTTCATTCCTTCTCCCCACCTCCGTCTAGTCTTCCTACCTCTAGCTATCAAAAACAATCTCCATTATGTATTACCAATACATTAACGTAAAGCATGAAAAAATAATGAGGCTACTAAACCAATACATTGGTGAGGTATTCAAAATTAGTTACCAATATTATTGGGTGCAAAATTTGTAATTTGTTTTCTATCACGCTTCCTAAATGTAGGTGGTTAGATAAAGCTGCCATTGAAGAAACATCCAACTCCTCCATGAGTAGTCCAGAAGAACAAGAAAGCAGAGGAATGCTCTGTCCAGCGGCACAAGTGACAAAAGTGAAGCTTCTTTTAACAATGGCACCTATGTGGGCTACTTTTTTCAACTATTGTCTTGTGGTTGCAACAGGAAGTACTTTCTTTTTCCTACAAACTAGTAATATGGATGGTCACATCAATCTTACATATTTTTCTATAATCCGTACGTTCTCAAGTTTCATAGCATCGTTTCTGTATGAACTACTAGTCCTGAGGCTGTGTACTGAAAGACAGCAAAAGCATGCTTGGAAAGTGAGGATTGGTGTTGGAATGTTTTGCTCTTTTCTATCCTGCATGGTTGCTCGATTTGTTGAAATTTACAGGTTGAAGCTGTACAAGGACAATATTGGGGAAAAAATTATTCCCATGAGTGTCTTTTGGTTAACTCCACAGTTCTGCCTTTTGGGATTCATGGAAGGACTTTGTGAAGATGGTCTTGTTGATTTCTATTGTCAACAAGTACCTGAATCCATGAAGGCCTACGGGCCACCATTTAATCGGTGGGTATTGGGAATGGGGAATTTTGTAAGCATATTATGGGTTTTAACATTCAAGCCGTGGTTTGGTGACAACATAAATGACAGTCAATTGGACAATTACTATGCAATTCTAGCCATAGTAAGTATTGCGAACCTATTTGTCTACGGCTTGGTCTCCAATATGCCAATCTACAATATTGATCAAGTTGCAGAGAAGGATGTGCAATTGCAGGAAATCTTGGCAGACGGCAACAAAAGTCCTGTATCCAAGTCCTTCATTCCTCCGAGCCACCTTTCAATTGCAACTTCAACGCAAAGAATTACAGCTTCTACATCCTTTCCAGAGCATCAATCTCGCAACACTGGGATCGTGGTTCAGAAGAAGCTCAGTCATCAAAAGACAATGTGAAGTGTTTGCAGCGACGAAGCAAACTTCAAAACCACAAAACCATGTTTTGTATATGTAATGTTATGAATGCATTTGTATAAGAACCAGGATTCATACAATCAGTTCTAAATTTGTGTGAAAAAATAATTTTGATTTTTATTATTTTGAGAGTTATAATTTCATGCATGCAATGGTGATTAATAAGGTTTTTATTTTGCAATTAGTTATAGAGGAATAATATGTCATTTGTGACAGGGATGAAACCAGGAGAAGATGGACCCTTGCTTCTGGTACTACCACAAAGTACCGACATATATATTTGTTTCCCATTTACATGTAAAAGAAGAACATAGTTATGTTGAAATCATGACTTCCAGAATATTCATCATTTGGATTTGAATGGGATAGCCCTGATCACCATCTGATGGTAAATATTAGTAATTACATGCCACCAAAAATCTAATTTGAAATAGAGTGAGGCAAATTGAAATGTTCAAAACTAAAATGACATAAATCAACGGTCTATTTAACCTAATAAGCTTTATAGTTTGATCTGTCGCGCCAATGCATAACAAGATGGAGGCTTACATGATCATCCCAAGCTTTGTCCCTGTTGGAAACAATGGCTGCACCAAAACTCGAAGCTGGATTAATACGTGTCCCTGTAGTTGGGATTGTTGCCAGGTGTACCAAGAAGATGGCGAACCCATTTGGCAGTGGTGCTAAAATCCGACAATCCGAATTCTGTAATCAAAGTTAGGATTGTGCGCAATACGGTTTGAGGGTAAAATTATAAACAAAACCGTGAATGGTAGATTGACAAATAACTGAACCGCAGTTTGGGCAGTTTATGCAGTTTCAATTTTCTAGTTGATTGAAGAGTGGTCTTAAATAATTATTAAGCATTTGCATAATATATAACACTAATTTGTATAATATTGTTCACATATATAACACTAACTAATTTCATATAATAATTTTCATATATATACTAATTTACAATAAATTTCACATCTTAGATTTCGCTCGCACTGATTTTAATTAGATATTCCATTAAAGTTAAAAAAAAAAAAAAACATATGTATTAACTATAGTAGAGTGGGGAGGTTTCAAAAGCAGATTATAAATTTTAAATTGCGGATAAAACTAACCTGCTATTAACGAGCGATTCAGCATAGATTTAATTTCAATCCAAACCATGCGTGTTTCGCATTTCATGTTTATCACGTTTCTCTTTTGGTTAACTCCACACTTCTTCCTTTTGGGATTCATGGAAGGACTTTGTGAAGATGGGCTTATGGATTTCTATGATCAACAAGTACCTGAATCCATGGACTATGGGCCGCCATTTAATCAGTGGGTATTGGGAATGGGGAATTTTGTAAGCATCTTATGGATTTTTACGTTAAACCTGTGGTTTGGTGATGACATAAATGTTGGGGAATGTTGGGAATTTTCAAAATTTGTAGTTTAATTTTTGGATGTTTTCAAAATATTCCATGTTTTTCTTTAGAAAGCTTGAAATAAGCTTGGGGACTTCGTCCCACATCAGAAAGAGAGGAAAACATAGAGCACTTAATAAAGTGCTACATAAAATATTCCTTTGAATGTGGAATTGTGAGGTGAAGCACGTGGCAGTAGGCTGTGTGGCGTTTGATGGCGCACTTTGCACAGACTCATTGCCATGAGGGCGCTTTCCTATTTGCATTGAACAGGTTGGAGCGGTGACGTGGAATACACCAACCGATCAAACGGTTGCATGTCCAATCTGGAGCGGTTTGATCATAGTCGTTGATTGGAGATGCACGCAATCGTATGGATGAGATGGCACCCGATCGTTATCAGGTGAGATTAGTCAAGGCATCTATTCGACAGGCTTATAAATAGGTTGTGAAATCGAGCCATTTCAATCCATCCAAAAGTCAGAAAACATTCCTGCAATTCTCTCTTTCTCTCCCTCTTGATTTAGAGTTTCGTAAGCAAATTTTTGCTTTTCTTATTAGTAATCAAGTTTTGCAAATTTGATTACCAGTGTCTTGGTTTTTTTGTGATTTTATCAAGAGTATTCTGATCTACTGTCGTTAGTGCAGATGCTGGTAGACTTGATCTTTAGATCAGGTTTCATTGTATCCTGAAGGTGAATTTGCTGTAACCCCCTGCATACCTTTTGGTGGGTGCAAATATTGTCTTTAGGAAAGAGACAAAGTAACGCAACTTGAAGCACCAAATTTATGTTCTGCATAGACCAGATCATCGCGAAGTTTTGAAGATCTGAAGACCACCAACTGAAGAATTCAAGACGAATTGTTCCAAAAATAAATGAGAGTCAATTGGATAACTACTATGCAATTCTAGCTATAGTAAGTCTTGGCAATCAATTTGTGTATCATTATGTCTCCCATATGACAATCTACAAGAAACATGAAGAAAATAGGATGCCAATAAAAAAGAAAGGTGAAGAAAATGGTGAGGAATTGCAAGCATTTAACAGTGTTAAAATCATGTATTATTGATTGATATATTGATTGATGTGTTACAAGATTGTTATGTTGTTGATTTGTATGTTACAAGCTATTATATAGAAGAGGTGTGAGGTAAGTGAGTGGTGGTAGTGGATGGTAGTGGAGGTGGTGGGTGGTAGTGGAGATGGTAAGTGTGATCATTATGTCTCCAATATGACAATCTACAAGAAACATGAAGAAAATAGGATGCCAATAAAAAAGAAAGGTGAAGAAAATGGTGAGGAATTGCAAGCATTTAACAGAAACGGGGGACAAAAACCCTGTGTCCAGGTCCTTCATTCTTCCAAGACATCATTTGATCCCAAATTCAACCCAAAGAATTACTGTGTCTAGATCGTTTCCTGAACGTCAATCTCTCATTCTATGGATCATAGTTCCCAAAAGAAACCAAAATAAGAGGAGTGCGATCCAGCTTTGTTTTGACCAAACGAAAATTAATCAAAGTTTATATACAGAATGAGCCGAAGAGCCTTTTTAATCTTTTTTATTAGGACATTGATAGACAGTAGCATATCTTTAACGATTTTAAGCTTAAAAAAAAAAAGAATGTATAGTAACACTTTTGTGTATACTACTATCTGTATATTATATATTATACACTCTATATAGGTGAATTCTATAACACAGCACAAAAAAGATGTATCATGTGCCTAATTACAACGTTTTGTGGTCCTTGATTATAATCCATTGTGGTGTTAATTATTACTTGATTTTAATAGAAGTCAGGAACTCATAATTTTCCTGTGAAAGTTCCTCACAAAGTGTGAATATTTATACTTGCATTTTGACATGGAGACACTATGGTTGACCTTGAGTCAAGCAGCAAGGGTGGGCACGTCACTTGAGTTGCTTCATTCGAAATTTCACAAATTCTGAAGTGTATTTTTTTGAAAACTTACAAGGACATCCAAGCTCTTCTGTCTTTTAAAATAATTGCAGATGGTATATTCTTACTTTGTAGCTTATATGCATTATGAATAGGGAATAATGAGATGAATAGTCAGAGGGGTCCTCTCCAACTATCTTGTGAAATAGACCAATAGAAATTGGAAAGACAGAAAATTGGGCCAGGAACTTAAAAATGGACAAACAACCTTTTAGATTTTTTTTTGTAGGATGTTGGCAGGCACTAGCCTATCTTTTACACCTTGATTCAGTATTTATTTATTTTTTTGTCCTATACTTGCCAACTGAAGGTCAAGGCCATGGATTTTTTTATAAACTCCCAAAACGCATAACCACGACAAAGATATAACAATCTTTGATAGCATTTGGGTACTTGCAAAACATTGGTGACAGTTATATCACTGTTTTCATCATCAAAAGAGAAAATTAACACAGAATAAGCCACCTGTAATGGCGGATAGTAGCAGCTGGTATGCAAAGCTTTCCAGAGCAATTGTGGGTTGGTTTTGCTATAATGTGGTCTTTCACAAGGCAGTTGTATTCATGGCAGGTAATCTTCTATGATCAAAGTGTTTTTCTCTGTACAAAATTCGTATACAGAATAATGTGCCATTTTGTTATCTAAAACATCATTGCCACATTATTTTGGATGAGTTTTTTTCGTATGATAATTCTGTTGATCAAAGCCTTTGTTTTCTAGAAACTTTTCTTTATATATTCCAATATTCCAATTGTGTTCTAATGTACTCGAATCCTTAGCTCTGCTTTTCAGCCACAGCTTAGTCGACAGGGGAGTGGTTGGAATATTGATATCGTACCTGGAAGAGAACTGGGAGAAGGAAAATCTTGTGAAAGTTGCATCAGTAACGAACGTCCAAGACGGGTTATCAGCGGTTATGATGATTGTCATAGCCCACATTTTAGATACATGGACAGGTCATTTTATGATGGTTGTGTATTCTACTGTTGCCTATGTTATTGTAAGTTCTTTTATGTGCTATTCAATTTAGCAATTCAAATTATTTCTTTTTCTCTCTTGGTTCCAAGTTCTAGTTTTTTTTTTTTTGGGCTTGGGGGTTTTAGTGACTTGATCATAATCTCCATGATATTGCGTGGCTCACGCAAGACCTAGGCATACCTTCTTTTTTTTTTGGATTACTCGGTATTAGGTCCAGTGAACCAACTTATTGGGGGAAAGAAAAGACCTTAAGTTCTTGTTTTGCTAGTTACATTACATTAGAATTGACAAATAATAATCGTAATACAGGGATTCTGGCTATTATACCTCTGTGCCAAGTTCAAGTCTACTAACAATGTAGTCTTTTTCTACTTGGCCATGGTGCCTATAGCTGTTGGCACAGCAGTGCGAGACCCCACTCATCATGAATTTTTAGGTGATCAAATGCAAGAGCCAAACCAAGAAAGTCTAAACCAAGAAGATCAAAACAATGCCGAGAAATGAGTTCAAGCCCGTGTGAACTTTTGGTCTCGATTGAACAAGTTCTTGGGTGCCATTGTGGCTGTATTTCTGTTTGGGACGTTAAAATGGAAAGAAGAGTGCTTTGAAATCTCAGCAATTGCAATGACTATTTCTGGGTTGCTGTTTTTATGTGGTTTTCCATTTTACCACCAGGTAAAACCAACTAGGAGCCCCATAACCAATGTATATTATGTCACTAAGGCTGCTATTTGGAAACGAAATCTAGACTACCCTGC